ATGCCTTATTTAAAAACTACAGCATATACACCTTCCCTATAAGGACACTTCACCCTACTATGGAATATGCCTACTATGACATCATCCGTGTACAACTTCCCTATAAGGACACTTCACCCTACTATGGAATATGCCTACTATGACATCATCCGTGTACACCTTCCCTATAAGGACACTTCACCCCTTTATGGCACATGCCTTCTATGACATCATCCGTGTACACCTTCCCTATAAGGACACTTCACCCCTTTATGGCACATGCCTACTATGACCTCATCCGTGTACAACTTCCTTATAAGGACACTTCTCCCCACTATGGAAGATGCCTACTATGACCTGAACCACGTGCACCTTCCTTATAAGGACACTTCACCCCATATATAGACCAATCCCAAAGGTCAAAGGTCACATTCCTTCTATGGACCAATCATCCGTATTTGGAAAGGTCAAAGGTCACAGCAAAGGTCAAAGGTCAAAGGTCATCTTCCATATATGGACTATTCATCCTTATATGGAAAGGTCAAAGGTCAACACCAAAGGTCAAAGGTCAAATGACATCTTCCATATATGGACTATTCTGCCTTATATGGCAGGTCAAAGGTCAAAGGTCAACTCAAAGGTCAAAGGTCATCTGCCATATATGGACTATTCTTCCTTATTAGGCAGCCAGGGGTCAAAGGTGGGATTTGAGCCAGAACCCCCATCGCACTATACTACTCCCAGCAGCTCGCTTTGCATACGTACACCCTTCAGCAGCCTTCGTGCCTGGCTCTCTTTGTTAGTTGCATTGGCTCGCATGACTCTTGCTCCGTGTTTTCACCCACCCACCCACACCGACTTCATTGTGTTACAATTCTCATTCTGTAGCACCCCGCTTATACTACTAACCTCATTCGTCTTCCAAACTCACTCTGCTAAACAAAAACAAGCAGGGATTGGGCACTGAACTCTCAGTAGCTGGCAGCATTCTCTCTACTCTCCCGAATCCCTCTATTCGGTTACTGCCCTTGGCAGGTCAGCCGCCATTTCGGTCTCACTCTCGGTCCCCGCCTCTGTCGGGTCGGCCGCCTCCATGGTTACACACTGCCAGCTCCTTCGCCCAGTTACCCTGTGGTGCCAACCAACTACTGCTGTGTCTGTGTGTGGGTCGTGTATGCCTCCGCGTACGGAGCATGCGTTAATGAAATGCAATGGCTCCTTGTCTGAGCTGGTACCATCCAGCATCACCCTATCTACATACACAGGAAATCCAATCAAATGTCTGGGTGAAATCGAAATGAAAATGGCTTTGGGTGGTGTAGAGGAGAATGTTCTGGTCAGAGTTACTGAATGTGATGGTCCTTCTCTCTTAGGCCGGGATGTCTTGTCCAGGTTTACTTTGCCATGGAAATCTATATTCAAAGTGGGCACTGGCGGGCAATCCACTACCGATTTCGTTAAGAAATACCCGAATCTGTTTGACAACTCCACTGTGGGTACGGTGCAAGGGGTGCAAGTAAAGCTGCACGTGTCAGATGAGCAACCGGTCTACAAACGAGCAAGACCAGTACCTCTAGCAATTCGACAGCGGTACATCGACGCGTTGAACAAACTCGAGGCTGATGGGGTGATTGAGAAAGTGACGCATTCCGAATGGGCCTCACCAACGGTACAAGTAGAGAAACCAGGAGGAGGATTACGGATTTGCGCAGATTACAGTGGGACTATTAACAAGCATTCAGAATGTGAACAGTACCCACTCCCCACCCTCGAGGAATTGTTGCACAAGTTGGGCCCGGGAGGGAAGTTTACCAAACTCGACTTGTCCCAAGCATACCACCAGCTAGAGGTAGCACCGGAAAGCAGGAAATACACCACCATCAACACAATTCAGGGCCTGTACCAGTACAAACGCTTACCGTTTGGTTTCCACAGTGCCGTATCCATTTTCCAAAGGGTAATGGAAGAAACCTTGGTTGCGCTACCAGGCAGCGGCGGGTACATTGATGATGTGCTGTGTACCGGGGAAAATGATGAAATCCATGAGGAAAACGTGGACCGGGTACTCCATCGACTGGATGAGAAAGGTTTCAAATTGAATCCGGAGAAATTCTGTTACATGGCTGAGGCACTCTCTTACTTAGGTCACACGATCAGTGGGCAGGGCGTCTCCCCTTCAACAGCCAGGATACAGGCACTGAAAATGGCCAAACCACCACAGAATGTTGCCGAATTGCAATCTTTCATCGGTTCTGCAAATTTCGTGCGGAAGTTTGTGCCTCATTTCGCAGAAATTGCAGCTCCTTTGTTCGACCTCTTGAAAAAGGGTGGGAAATGGCACTGGGAGACCACTCACGAGCAAGCTTTTGGCAAATTGAAGGATGCTATGTGTTCAGAAGCCCTACTGGCACACTATGATCTACAAAGGCCAACAGTGTTGCAAGTGGATGCTTCGGGAGTGGGCCTTGGCGCAGTCCTACTGCAGAAGCAGGAGAATGGCGAATTACGACCGATCGCATTCATGTCGCGTAAGCTGACCCCAGCAGAGTCACGCTATGCTCAAATTGAAAGAGAAGCATTGGCTGTGGTGTTCGGAGTGACCAAATTTCGCCAGTACCTACTCGGTAGAGAGTTCATAGTGGTCACTGATCATCGTCCACTCTTGAAGTTACTGGGAAATCACGAGGATGTCCCCACTCTCGCCTCTAATCGAATCAAGAAATGGGCATTGCAACTGGCGGCGTACGATTACGAAATGCAGTATCTCGCGGGGAAAGAAAACGTCCATGCGGATTTTCTCTCGCGACAACCAATGCAATCTGTGTCACCGAGTGAGGAGGAGACCGTCACGGTACAGGTCTTGCTTATCGAGAACGACTCTATAATCAAAGCGGCTGTGGTGAGAGCAGAATCGGCAAAGGATTCTGTATTGGCTAAAGTAATTCGCTATACGGTTAATGGGTGGCCTGCTGAAATTGAGGAAGACCTCAAGGCATATGCTAGCAAGAGAATGGAATTGTCTGTGGAGAATGATATCTTGTTATGGGACAACCGGGTGGTGATTCCTAACTCACTTCGAATGCTCTTGCTACGAGATCTGCATGCAGAGCATTTTGGCATGGTGAAAATGAAGCAAGTGGCCCGGCGCTACTTGTGGTGGCCCAATATTGACCAGGATATAGAATCTAAAGTCAATGCGTGTTTGCAATGCCAAGAGAATGCCAAATGCCCACCGGCAAAATCCGGTGTTTGGTCATGGCCTACGGGTCCATGGAAACGGATACACATTGATTTTGCCGGGCCATTTCTGGGAAAAATGTTCTTGGTGGTGGTAGATGCTTACTCTAAGTACTTGGATGTAATACCCATGGCTCATGCAACCAGTGCGACCACGATTTCTGCTTTACGCCATCTGTTTTCTGTGTTTGGTTTGCCTGAGCACTTGGTTACAGATAACGGCAGTCAGTTCACGAGTGCGGAATTCCAGGCGTTCCTGGATGGCAATGGCATTCTACACACAACAACGGCGCCAGGTCATCCAGCAACTAATGGCCTCGCCGAACGCTACGTTGGCGTCTTCAAGCAGAAGATGAAAGAAATGTCGAACACTGGTGAACCACTCAACGTCAGGCTCGACCGGTTTCTCTTAGCGCATCGAACAACGCCAACCACCAGTGGGAAGACGCCGGCGGAGCTGTTAATGGGCCGGCAACCGAGAATCCGGCTCAGTGCATTGCGGCAGTCTGAGAGTCATCGGCAGGTCAAGGTGTACCAGGAGAGCTTGACTACGCCAAAGTTTAACACCGGTGACGCTGTGTTCGCCCTGAACTTTGGTCGTGGAGCAACTTGGGTACCAGCTACTGTAGTGCATGTCCACAGCCCTCACAGTTTCGGAGTACAGGTGGATGATGTCGTCTGGAAGCGCCATAGGGACCAACTACGACCGCGGGCGGTGCAGTTTGGCCAAGTACCCGTTTCTTCTTCTGCGGACCAGGCGGTCGCACAGCTGCCTACACCGACCAGTGACCCGCCGGCAGTACTAGATTCTCCTCTACCACTTCCGGACGCTAGCAGCAACAGTAGCACTGTCAGGCCGGATGATACGCTAGCCCCAGCAGCAGACGCCGTAGGAGTCGAGACGGCTCCCAGTGTTGTTGCACCGGCACCCTTGCGTCGCTCCGACCGACATGTCTCCGCGCCCAAGCGCTTGATTGAGAACTGCTAAGTATCCGTACTATTGCCTTTGAGTATGTATTGCTTGTCCTGTTACTTTGATCTGATGCGGCCTGAGTGTAGGAAGTGGACATTTCTGGGCCAGATGAATATTCTACATGTAGGTCATGACGAACAGTCTTCACATAAGATTGTTTTCGTTCAATTCATTGAAACATTTGCATGGTTTCTCTTCCGATCTGATCTAATTCCCCAACGCTATGCAATATTGGCTGACTTTATCTGTCATTCCTAGCTCGATCTATAGCTCAGCTCTCATGGACTATTCTGGAAGCTGCAGTAACTGTTATAAGTATATGTGTGCAATGTGTTTTTTGAACTTTTTGCTTTTGTATTATCTGGCCGTTGTAGTGTCACCAGCTATATCTGTCGGCGCCAAATTTGACTGGCTCTTTGCTTATGTTATAATTTTACCCCGGGGAAAATTCTTGGGGGGCGATTGCTGTGTACGTGATGTGATAAGGCGCGCATGCGCGCCTGGGCTCGTGGCTGGTTTTGCATGCTTGCTGTGCTGGACTAGGTCCGAGAATGTGAGCTCTCTTTTCCTTGTCTTTCTGTTCCTTGATTATTAGTATATTACAATAACTGTACGAACCTGAGTAATGCTGTGTGTGGGCCCTTAGGGCCAGACATAACATCTGGACTGATCATTACTTTGCTACAAGATTGCAAGACAATTAGTGTGTGCATTTTGTTCACAACAATGCAACATCACAAGGAACTAAAAGAAAATGTGCCGCACAGTTCTTTCCACATTACAGTGAACAGTACACGTGTTAAGTCATTACCTTCTCCAGGGCAGGTACCAATGGGTAGCTAGCATGCTGCTTCAGAATGCTCTGCTGCACTGCATCCTTCCGCAGTCGAAACATGTCCAGACGGCGATCAGTATCAATATCAATCTTCAGCACCTTCTCTGCCAAATCTGCGGTCGATTCCGATGACGACCGGGTTCTTCCAAGCACCTTCGAGAATGATAGAGGTGAAAAACATCATTTGCGATGTATTCGTTCATCAGGGACACATGGAGAAGGGGAATCCATACGGATAGGATTAGCTACTAGACAAGCATGGAAGGTAGCCATGGTGCAGTTAAATTGGGGCTACCGGCCCGGACTGAAATAGGGGGTGCATGATTATTTGAAAGTAAACTGACTGATCCGATACGAGTATGAAACTTGGGTAGTAGGGTGCAGTCTTCTTTTGTCTTCCCTCTCACTGCATATACGGAGAGCAACAGCCGATTGCTCTCAATTGCTCTGCAAGTATCGCAACATCTGTACTGGGAGTAAGCCCATATAAGTTATGTGTGCTGTGATGGTGCCATGCCATGATCAGCCCTGGCGTCACCATACCTACCTGTTGTACATAGGAGTCCAGCATATCAAACACAACTGTGGCCCTCTCCTCCACAGAATCACCATTTACAATCTATCGCAGAAACAAGAGGGGGCAAGGACAGTCAAAAGGCGGTCAAAACAAAGACAGTCAACACCTTGGTTTAGTGACCACTATAGGGAGAGCCAACCGGTCTTGAAAGATCACCTGTAGTGAGAGACCGCCTGTAGTGAGATACCACTTGTCTTGGGAGACCACCTGTCTTGAGAGATCAGCTTTTTCAATCCGCAAACCATACATTGTGACCTGTGCCGAAAGATCACCTGTCCATAACGACCAGCCGTTTCCGTGCCCTGTGGGTCTCTAATGATAGACTGTGCAGTGAAGCTGGTGTTGACCAAACTAGACAGGACGCATGCACCTATGACTTAATCACAGCCTGGGAGTATGCTAGTCGTAGACATCTGATGCATGAAATTGATCTGCTCGGGAGCGATATTACGCAGGCCACAACAGCCTGTAATGGCAGGATCAACATCGAAAAAAGTATGAATACAACATTACGTTAGCTTGGTTGTCACATGTGGAGTCAAGAGGAGTGCCAACAAGAACCACAGTGTATAGATACTTGATGCTGAACAGCCAGACATACGAGTAATAGTCACGTGACCACAATGTGATGGGGAGGTGGCACAGCTTGAGCCAGGCAAACATCATGCGTGAAACACACCCTTCATGTCTTAGGACAATTCTGCAAAAGCAGAGCACGAGCAACGAAAGAAAGTGCTGGAAACCTCAATGCTAAGTACTCACCTTGGACTTGCTGGACTTCAAAATTTGTTTCTCAATTGCTGCATACAATGCAGGCGTTCTGCCGTCACTGCCCCTGCCGGAATACGCCCGATTGCTTCTGCATGGATTAGAAGCAATACAATACAACCTTCCAGCTCGGCACAGTGTCACATCTGCACAAGCCCAAGCCAACTCAGAACTACACTGTACTGTGCACCCAGGTGAATATCAACGTTATTTTCTCAACAAGATTGCCAAACTCACTGGGCACATTGGCCGCTCACTGTCACAGTTTTCTGATGCATACTCGCAAAGAGTGGCATGACAGATATGGTCTAGTCCCCATAGATGGAATTATCAGCCACTACGAGAATATCAATGGCTTCCAAGTGAAAGTAAACATGCCACGGTGCAATTTTATTGCCACCGGTTTCTGGTGAGTGCACTGTTTCAAGTGTTTTCTACCAAATGAAAGCGATAACAACATACTTGAGCAAAGCTGCAGCCTTCTGTTGCTGTGGTTCAGACTCTCCAGGATGTCCGCTGTCTTTACTTGTGCGATTGTTGTTGAAGCAGAAAATGCACAGCTCACACTGGCCGTCTTTCGACAGGCTCCCCTCCACTTCGTCGCGTGTCATCCTGGTGGATAAGTACATACGCATGTTGGAACAGAAGTTAGGCAAGACATGTATACACACATGAGTCGGCGTTTGCGTTGAAACTAGGATAGAGCTCACGTAAGTGGGAGAAACTTCAGTTCAATCAAGCCGGCTTTTGAGTAGCATTAAATTTTATTAAAATAGTTTGTCATTCCTGTACTATCTTCATCATATCCTAGAGTGTACGTATGACGTCAACCAAGGGCGTTTACCCTTGTCAAGTCAGCAGTAACTCTGCGGTGAATGGTGCTACATGTACTTGCAAACTGCTGTCATTGAAAAGGTTGCCTGGTGCCTTTGAATCTCCTTTTTTACCGCAATACACCATTCTTTGTGGCGGAGCATTACACTGGACCGTAGTGAAGGTTCCAGGTCCAAATCTCGGTGGCGACAGTCATCTTCCCTCAGACCTTGTCCCTTCTCATTTCCTACTAATGATACTCTCTTTAGTTACCATAATGGTCTCCCCAGAGTCGCAGTAATTGATACTACATTACATGTATGAACTCGGATGTCTCAATATCCTTGTCAGTTTTGTGCCTTGTTGCTGCACTATCTGACTGTGTATTATCTCGTTACCGTCCTTGGTGGACTCTTAGTCATACATAACTACTTCAGTAACTTATAGGTCCTTTTTCTCTTTACATTACATGTACTGCTGGTTGACGTGATCATTCACTCAAGTGTTTAAAACTAGCAACTTATAATCAAACATCACCATGTACCAACATAATATTATGATCACCCATGAGTTACCTGTTGATGTCTTCGGCAATGAATGAAATAAATGCGTCGCAGTGTTCGATCTCCTGACGGACAATAGCACGCACGCTGTCCGTCTGTATTGCACAAAGAAGGCAGATATCCGCAGTGATTGTGAAGATCAGGATGACCAATGATTTGCAATGCACACACAACATAATCATAATTATGCCAGTGTCAATTGTGATGGGTTTGCTCCCACACTGGAACTCGTGCTATTCCGCCGACTTGACTTGACTCATTCCTAGAAGTCGCAACCACTATTTCGTCAATTGTGATAGTATCTTTTCAGAATACGCAAACTCCATTGCAACCAATTCATTAGCTAAGTCAATCAAGAAACTCATTCGAGCTGGTCTCCGTACTGCATTTGAAAAGCCGGAGGAATATGTTGCTACTCAAAGTGTCATGCTTTCGAAATGATCCGGCGGCCGGTAGGTTAGTGCAAAAGCTACCGGAGTCAAAACCTGCCCACCATTAATAGCACAGGGCCAGTGCTGGAGATTTAAGAAGACTCGGAATCCAGCAAGTGTGGTACCTGTGATGCCGATGGCGTGGAACAGCGTACAAGCTGTGGTGCACTGGAGGACGATGGCAAGCAGTTGACCAGTGTTAGGAGGCAGCCGTTCCTGGCACACCAGTGCTTCAGCACAGTGCACCGCTGCACAACACGACAACATTGTAAGAACAACGAAATACCCAGTTCAGTCACACTATCGATGCAACAAGCATGACTCCTACAGGTCTATAGAGTGCACCCGTTAGAACACTGCACTAATGCGTCCATACCCTGGAGCAGATCGACGGGTGCATTTATGCTGGTCTACACAATGGAACAACTTTCCCTTATGCCATCAAGGGCACCATGCAGAGAATGAAGAGAGAGAGAGAGAGAGAGAGAGAGAGAGAGAGAGAGAGAGAGAGAGAGAGAGAGAGAGAGAGAGAGAGAGAGAGAGAGAGAGAGAGAGAGAGAGAGAGAGAGAGAGAGAGGAGAAAGAGAGGAGAGGAGAGAGAGTGCTGATATGAAAGTTTACCTCAAGAAAGTGCTTCACCTCTTCTTCCACGCCCAGGCACCCAGACACACATACCACCACGTCAGTGACCGGAGCCACATTGACTTGGGAAGACAGTGTGGCTCCACCTGTAAATCACAAACAGAACGGTTTTAGTCTATGCCCTTACCAAGCTTCGCTGTACTTGTAGTGCAATACCTGCTGCCTTGAGTGAGCATCCACAGCATAGTCTGTTCCAAGCAATCACGCTGCAAGAATACTCAAGTCCCTGTAGTGACGTGGAGTGTGCTTTTCATGTGTACGTCCGGCTAGTCTAGTCTTGCAGTTAGACGTTGCAACGTTGGTCTAGTCTTGTAGTTAGGTGAGACATCGGTCGCTCCTGCCATGAAGCCTTTGTGACAATACATGTACTTACTGGCTTTGGACACACATGCAGTCTGTGTGGTGTTTCCATCTCTCTTTCAATCATTGAAGAGGCCACCTGTCTCTAGACTACTGACCGCTCATCTCCTGCCCCCCCCCCCCCCCACTGTACCTCAGCATACATTCCAACATCTGTTGAAAGGCAATTTGTTTCTAGTGACCTCCAATATCCTGCCCCACACCATGCCTCAACATACGATGTAACGTACATGTACATTCCAACCTGTTTGGAAAGATCACCTGTCTCTAGTGACCGCTCATGAATCTCCTACCCCATTCCAACCTGTTTTGAAAGACCACTAATGTACATGTACATGTAAAACAGAGCGGTTCCAGGCTGTCCAAGAGAGTGCTCAATACAGGGTACACTGTATATAAACCAGTGCTCATCCAGATTTACTCATTACTCTTATCGTTTGATTGTTTGGTTTTACATGTACATGTATAAAGACTGGACTGGCACTCTAGTCGTAGTACTCTGTAAAACCATGGCCGGGATGGTGGTTAGAGCAATGTTTCACTGCGTTCCCCTTACCAATAGCGCCTGGAGGTGTAGCCATGCTGATCATAGGATTGACCACTTCCTCACCCGGACTATATTCACCAAGACCCAACGGAGCCGTCTCCGATGTCGGAGTGGCAAACATGTCGCTCAGGTATTCCTGACGTCGGCCATGCACCGCACAGCTGCCGCAATGCCACTGTGCCGATTGCTGAATGCGACGCTCGAGCTCCTCCTTGGTGCAGAGCAGGGCACTGATCTCTGCTTCCTTGTGGTCTCGGAATGCATCGAAGGCCGTCAACACCCTTTCCTTTTCCATCTCGATGCTCTTGCAACGCTCCAGTGCATCCTTCAGCATGTCTGCAGCTGCATTCTGCTTTGTTTGCAGTTTGGCTACAACACCCTGCAACAGCTTAATCTCATTGCGTAAATGAGCGTTCTCTTCTGATTTCTTCTGCAGCTGCGCCTCGCTCTCGGCAAGTTGCTGCTGGAGTGGGGATCTGGCAAAAAGCTGGGCAGTGTCGGTGATTGGTGGTTTGGTACGTGTATCTGGTGATGGCTGTGATGGCCTGCGTGGAAGCTTGCTGGAACTAATGTTGGGTGGTTGTGTTACTGCTGAAGCTGCGGAAGGAGAGCGTTTGAATATGAGTTTCGTCTTTGGTGAGGCTGGTGGTTCTGCTGCCGGTTTTGCTGCTGCTTGGGGAGTTGTTGGAGTTGGTCCATTGTCTGTGCTCTGTGCCCGTGTGGACGACACTGACTTTGTTATCAGTCGTCCGTGGGATGATTGCTTGCTTAGAGTTCCCGACAGTTTGCTCGGACTAGGCGCTCGCGACTCCAGTACTTCACAATCCAGAGACGCGTCAACACGCTCCAAAGACGACTTGAACAAGTCGCTGCCGCTAGCGCCCTGGGCCTGACCGTCAGCGACGATTAGCGCCTCGCTAGTGATTTGCGACGCCTGAATGACCTGTCCCTGTCGCCTCGTTGAACTACTTCCTGCACCCATTGCCTTTCAGCTCAGCATGGATTCGATCGCTACACACACGCACTCTCTCTGTCCAAGATGGTGACTGCCTCCATTGTGCTGTGGGTGGATCATGCTCGTGAAATGCCCCCCAACGCTCATCTTTGTGCGACCGTCCTGACCCTAATCAAACAATACATCGCAAAGTAAATTAGTTGCACAATTGTTGCGTGAACGAGAAGATTCTAGCAGGCTGGCTAACCGCATTGGTGTTTACTAGCAGAAGCCGGGATAACAGTAAATTTGAATGGGGAGGCCAGAACTTCAGACAAGAAGCTTTTCAGGTTAGAGGAGAAGATGAAAACAGATCTTGTAGAATTATGATAATGACGTAGACTTTCTGCTTTTCAAGTAACTAACTAGTAATAATAGTTTTCATTGACTCGGATCGGAACGTCAAGCACAAGCAAGTCTTTGCCTGATCCCTTGACCCCATGTTTCCTAGGCTACGAAGGGGCTTTGTCGCCGCCGGCGCCGGCGCCCTGCACCATGATGATTGTAACGACGCGTATTGTTATTCACGCACGTCCGTCAAAACAGGATGTGAAAGCGACTGTCTTTCCCGCGCTCTATCTAGCTCTTGGCTTCGGTCACTTCGTGGTTTACAAAAAATAATGATCTACCGGTACACACATGGTACAGACTGTAACAGCTTTTACTGCAATACTGGTCAAGTCTGGGCTCCGAAATATTATAATGTGACACGGTTTCCTGAGATAACTCACAACTACATGACTTGTACTAGTAGTAGTACTAATCAGTAATCTTCAAAAGTCGATCTACCCGCGTAGTCTACGTTGGAGTCGAGTGGACGAGGGGCATGGCTACATGATGTACATCTAAACAGAAAGATCTACCCACTATTTTACCCACGACCACGTAGATTCAACATGCCCTACCTGTATTATTATTATTATGCACTGGCATGGGGTGTCATTTGACACGCTTTCGAAAAATGTAACGATCAAATTTCCTCGGACGTGTCAATGGAGTCCAGGATCATGGATATGTACCGAGCTAGCTGTGTGTCAGAGTGCGTAAGCCTGGACAGTGACACACGATCGTAACGGTGAAACTGTGACTTTCTTTTCCAGCTAGAGAGTAGAGTAGAGAGTGGAGTGTTGACTGTTGATAATGAGACTGTAGTAGGAACTGCGTTCTTCGTGTAGATCCATGATCCTCTGGTTGTGGAGCGAAGAAAGAAGCAAAGGCGAAACCAGAACAGGAGTCAACTGGCTCCGGAGCATCATTACACGACGGCCAGTAGCACAGGCACCGTTTGATCGTTGTACCGGTACCGGCGTCGGTAGCTGACTGGCGTCGGAAAGTTTTAGATCGCTTCGGACTCGTTTCCATCCCTGCTGCTTCCTGCCACCTTCCGAACATTGCTAGTTGTAGCTCGTTCACACGTAGGATTGAAGGTACTACCACTGGGTAATCAATCATGGATGTAGGAGACGTGCTGTCCGTGGAGAGAGACTGCCAGGATTGGATTGAGGTAGGTCGTAATCCACTGCACCGGATTCTCGTGTCAACACGCACATGTTGCTTGTGAACTCTCTGCGTGCTCGGGCCTTTTCGCGGACAGATGGTAGAAAATCTTGCCTGTTCCGCTGTGCGTTGTGCTGCTCAGGCGATGACTGGATGCTACTTCGAGAAAGAGAGCTTCAGGGAATCTCTGCAAGACGGCGTATTGCTGTGCAAGTACGTGGTCGGAAAGCAAACATCTTGTCCACACTCCGGAGCTGTGGAGCCGGACAGAACACCTGTTTGCCCTAGTAGTAACTATTTTTGTCATGTTCTGCTGTAGATGTGTGCCGGCCAGCCGGCACTTGTTGATTGTTTTGTGCTTTCCGTGCAGTGCTTCAAAGTACTAGAAATCCCCGATCGCCCGTTGATTGTTTTCGGGTTTACCCTTTTGTGATTTCAAAGGTGCAACAACACCTGAACGCCCGTGGAGTATTCTGCAGTCTGCATGCACGTGCTGGCTGCAAGTGTGTCAAGTAAAATAGGAGTTTTCTTGTAGAACTCTGAACTCTGTTTTCTGGCTTTCGCTTTGCGCTTCTCTGGCCAGGCTGCTGAATGCAATAAAACGGGGAGCGGTCACAAAGATCAACACACGCCAAGGCACTTTCGCCAATATCGTAAGTCACTTTGTGTGGATGCTAGATGCTCAGGATGGCGTGTGAATGGAAACAAACTCCACTCTACCCGGCAAGACTTAGTAAAGTTCTTGATTTGGCTATCTGGTCGGGCTTGCGGTCGTTTATCTTGCCATCTAGCGAGTGACCAGCCATTAGCCGTGCCGCCTAGCTAGCGTCACTCATCTGCTCATAGTCTAGCACACCTAGGCTGGAGCATAAATCTTCGCTGCTTCTAAAAATAATTAATTTTGTCATGTGGTCTGCCACATCTCTCAACGTTACACTTACTAGTACAGTTTGTACTATAGTACTAGATATAGAGCCTACAGTGCGTTTTTTTATAACAGACCATTGTCGATTTTGATTTTTTAGTTTGTTCTCATTCCAAATTTGAAAATTTTTCTTCACAGCTGCGTTTGTGTGGGTCTTGGATCGAAGAAAATTAAGTTTGGGAGTCGGAATAATAATAATTGTCAAAGTTACATATTCGGCCGGGTTTCGGCTGGAAATCCGGTTTTAAATGGTTTTCAGTGGATTTTGATTTTGTAAACGGAAGTTTTAGCCAGGAAAGCTCATCACTTGCATGGTGCCCGGCATGAGTTCGAATCCAGTACAGTTCATCTTGATTCTTTTTTTTCTTTTCTTTTTCGGTATACTGTAGTACAGCGCATGCATGTACATGTACATGTACATGCACATGGCTAGGCTGTGCAGTTGTGCACTGCATGCTGTCTGCAGTTCTCCTAACCTTTGTAGGAAACCAGTGAGTCGTGGCTTTTCACGACTTATTGTGGCAAACTGTACTGAATAATTCAAGTCCTGTATTGCAATTAGCTCAGTAAATCAACACATTCCAGCATGCATGTAGGAAACTTCCCTCGATCCCTGAAATAATGCAGTGAAAATTCAAACACCACAACAAATCACAAAGGCAATTCACACAGCTCCCATAAAGAGACTAACAAAAAGGAAGCATGAGCAGTTTTACAAACACACAAACACACACAATGCAAATAGGTCACAGTTGTGTCCGGTTCAACATCTGCGAATAGTAGAAGACCAGCGAGGAACGAAACGGCCCCAATAATTCCGTGTTTTGTGTTGCACTTGTGACGACAGTATTACACAGTGAACAGATGTGCTCGGACAGCCGACGACGTATATCATCGTTGGCGCCGGCCTCCAGTCACGAACACATCGGCGCAGTTTTTCATGAATCTGTCCCGTCCACCAGTATGCAGAACAATAACGCGCTTGCCTTTACCTGATGATGCTTCATTCGGTTGCTTGCCTATACACTCCTGTCACCATTGTCGTACCACCTCCTAGTACCTGTGTGACGCGCATTGACCCACGTCTCATCCAGGTATGTCTCACAGGTAGCGATGCCGCCATGACACAATCCTGTGCTGTTCCATCATTATTTGTGTGATACCTCTGGTCTTGCCACACTGGAATCCCATGGAACGCAACATTTTCCAAGAGCTGGTTTTGCTCATGTCTGGAAAATCGTCGATGGTTTCTCTGCAGCGAGCAGGAACTTTGTCCAGTGTTGGGTCCTCCTTCGCAGCATAGAATCCGTAAATTATTTCTTATACAGTCCAAAGCAAATCCGTCAGGGTTGAGTGGTTTCATGGCACGAGTCTCACATCGGGGATTGTCACTCTCGTTGCCTTCATCACTGGAGATAGACAAGGCCAACGCAGCACGCTGATTTTCGCCGTCAGCATCCCTGGTACATCTGTTCATGGTGGAAATGCTGACGCCACACGCAACAGCAGCATGACGAATGGAATACTTGGGACCAATTCGATGCCCAGCCATTGTTCTCCTCGTCTTCGCAACAAATTGTAAAACAGACACCACCATGTACCATGGCCCGTTCGCGTTTTGTTATAATTATGTTGCATGTCGAGAGAACAAGTTGCCACGAACGAAAAGACACTCGAGAAAAAGCAAAATAGGGCCACAGAGCAGTCAGCAACAAAATTAATGATTCCTCCGGCCACCATGGCCACGAGGCAAGGAGCTCAAAGGACACTCTGAACAAGATGGCGAAATGCCACGAGTCACACCTGGTTTTTCGAATTTCGCGCGCAGATTTTCGTGACGCAACTCGCATGACATTTTCTCAAAAGTGTCCTTGAGTACGTTCTCAAGGTTTTCAGAGTCTATTATAAAAAAACGCACTGTAGTAGAGGCAATAGAAAGTCTCATTTATAAATAATATTATAATATATTTTATATTTTCTAGCGACACATTCCGGACGAAGATAAATCGAGACTTACCGCCTTTATAGGCTGATAGCCATCTGTGCTGCTGTGCAATGAATGTCATGCTGAATAAAAAATATTCAATCATGGGGTGCTCTGAGTTCAATGAGGAGCCAACACTGGGTACATCCATGAAGTGAGGCAGCACTGCACTGGCTTATCAGCTTTCACCGAGAGCTACATAACATAATCATTGTAAGCTGCTCATGTCATCTCCTCGCAGAGTCACAGCAGGTAGTGAATGAAAAATAGCCTCCTTGATGAGAATGCACACCGGCTGTATTTCCGGGGTCGCAGCTGCACCCAGTGGTGGCTAATGTTGCATTTCTAAATGATTTTCAAAAAAGATGGAAGTAATTGTGCTACAGTACTAGTACCCTATCTCTAGTCTCCTACTGTTGCGGACATTGAAGTTCGTTAAGAGGTCAAGCGGCCACGGGGCGCTGGCCATGCAGCCGTGAGCACTACTGGTCCATTTTTACAGTGTTACAATCCGTGTACGCGTGAAGCAAGTAAGGGTGCGGGTCCCTGTCATTTCACCAGATTTCTATGTCCTCAACAATACATTCTCAGAGATACATGTAGTCAGGTACTTCAGGTGGGGTAACCAAAACACTTCCTTGGCGCAACACGGGCCATTAATTTAATAATCTGCAGAGGCAACTACTCAAATGATCAGACGAAACCATGAATACTAAGACTAGGCACTGTGATGTACTCGAAATTGTGTAATCTGCTGAGGAGATTGATGATGAATGGGATGTCTTCCTAAATTGAAAGAGTCCCTGAGTAGACTCCCTGAGAAGAGTCCATGAGTAGCTGTGAAAGGGAAAACGACATCACGTCACTTGAAAACTACTTGAGTTGTGTGAAGTTTTCCATTGGGGCTTGTATTGCCCAGATGGCAACATTCTGTTGCGTAACAGTTTGCCCACAAGCCACCTTTGAAGCCTTTATTAGAAAGTCATTGCTTACATAGATTATTAGTACAAGCCGCTGAGTAATTACTTCTGTCTTCTGGCTTCTTGCCACATAGACAGCACCCATATCTCTCCTGTCTTTCTCTGTCTAAGTATCTTGGTGTTCCCATGGTTACTGCAGGAAAATCTCAATGCCTTCATTGCGGCCTGCAAATCACTGGGGATTCCCCCTACGGCTCTCTTTGCACCCAGTGATATCCAGGCACCACCTGCGACATCCGTGTCACTGAGAAGACGCCAGTCACACCTTGAGTACGCTCCTCTAACATGCACAGTGTGGTTTTTTCTCAAGTACATGTGCTGCTCACGCAGAGGCAGGGGGAGAAGCTCACATGCATCTGCTGTGAAAAACGTATTGAGCATTGATACAGCAAGAGAGAGCGCTATAGAAGTGTGTGTCAACAACAGTGTGCTGTCCTCAAAGTGGTCCTTGTCAGTGCTCACGACATTGTCAGGCTGCCTGTTAGGCCTCTAGTGAAGACTAGCATGTGTTTGAGCATGGGTGTACATGTATGTCCACACTGCTTGCATTGCACTCCCCTGCTGGTAACAGCAATACGAAAGACATTACAATGTCGTGCAGAACAGTCATGGCCAGTACGGTATGCAGTCTCATGATGGTAGACTCGCACACGGTATTGTGATAAGCACTGCAGTAATTTTCAAGTTGAAAAGACGTAGTCCTTTGTGAATGGTTTCAGGACCTAATTTTACACCAGTGGTGTGAACAACCACTAAAGCCTTGCTTTGAGCTCCCCATCACCATTGCACTAGGCACTACACGTGACTAATAACGTTACTCCAGCCTGAAGGTGTGCATTATTGTATCACCGACAACCGTTGTTGGCTCGTGACAATTGTGAACAACTAACAGTTACTGTACTCGCTGGCTTTGAGCTGTAAAAGTGACCTAAGGCAATGGAAATGCCTGGCAAAACCCAGGCCGGTACAATAGTTAACTAGCTGGTGGTGGTGCTGTGAACAAGAGAGCAGCAGCGGATGCATGATGTGTTGGATGGGTTGATGTACACAGTGGTGCTCCTGCGAAATTACCTACTTTTGAAGTGATGGTGTTACAGCCGTACAGGGCCTACCCCGCATACTGCCTAAACCTTGCCGGGAGGTAGAGAGGGGGCATGATGATCACGAAGTTCATGTTGCGTAATTGCTGTGTGCTTGAAGGCATTGCTTCTGTGGCCCTGGGGTAGCACTGTGAAGTCCTGCCCGTTAGGCTACGACCTAGACCCGCACCCTTGTGCAGTGCTTTGCATGACAGCTTGAATGCCCTGTCCACCAGTTACCACCACACTCACTACTAGTCTGTGCTCTGTGTCCTTTCCTCTTTCGTATTTCGTATTTCTGCACAGAGCACAGCGTCGAGAGGATGACAAGCGTGTGCGCAACGTTCTCGTCACTTTGTACTGGCTCAATCAGAAGGCAATGGCCATGCCAGGATACAATGGACCGCAGCTAGCCACAGAGAACTACTATCAGCTGATGAAGGTAGGGTGGGGTTGATAGTACTTGCTACGAATGCTGTGATGAGGTGCTGCTTTTTTTTGTGCAATCCCACTTTCCAGAATGTCCTCAGATCATCTAAGCGCGTGTTTCGGCGAGTCAACTCAGCACATTCCCTTTGATGCATGACATATTGCCATACGTACATGTACATTTCATTAGCAGCAGCTTAGCACAACTATCATACTGGTGTGTTTTGGTATTTCCATTCACCACCAGGATCCCTGGGCATCACCAGCCAAGTCCGCTACACTCGGTCGCATACAGAAGCCACCTCCGTCTGGAGTTGTGACCGACTCGCTGGATTCGAACGAGGTGACCGGCCTGCGCCGAGCGACATTGCCGAGAGCCGCGTCGCCATCTTTCTACGGCCAGTCATCGTCTCGCTCGCCTGTCTCCGACCGCTCAAGGTCCCCTCTAAGCAGTACGTCCAGCCATGCCACCGCTCACTCTTACTCATCACGTGCCAGTACCAGTAGCATTGATGGTAGCGTGCGTGGATCGTCGCCGGCTGATTCAATCGCATCACCCACGTCATCAGCGAGTGCTCCAATTAGCCGACCCATCAGGCAATCCCCGTCACCAGATTCGGCACCTTCTACCCACCGCTTATCCACGGGCGGCACTATCATGTTCTCGCCTCGGCAACGGGCACTACAGGCTGTCTTTGACCTGACTGAGGACCCACTGGATTCCGTATCCGTTGAAATGCCGCCATCTGCACAGCAGAGCGGCGGCAAGCGTTCTGTCAGCATCACCTCTGCATCATGGCAGAAGGAGCCGCAGTGCACAGTGTCAGAGCGACCCTACACCATGAGCATACCTCCAACTACACCACAGGTAACCGATGGTGGAAAACTGGCCTCGGCGGATACAACACTTTCCACCGAGCCCTCTGCGGGCAGGGCACGGAGTGACAGTGGTATTGCTTTCCTTACATCTCCGGTGGTGACGGTGAGTACAAAGCACCATATTAATTGTACCTCTCTCTGTGTGCTCCGGGTCACAGTTAGGTCACTCTGACTTTAGTGCTTTGCACCAATTTAAATATTTTTGCTTTGCTCGAGTTTGCTATTCACCTAGACTTCTATGCAATCAGTTCGGCCAGTCACTTTGAGCTCTGTCTAAGACGTCCTAAGAAGGTCAAAACAGCTAGGTGTCCGGAGAATAGGCAGTACTGCATTATTTGAGGTGTATTTGAATGCCATCATCCCGGATGAAGGAGTAGAAAAACAGTGCATGTGATTTCACTTCGTATAAATCACCTCAAGTGATGACGTAACCACATTTAGCCGCCTCTATGCTATTGCCATGATCAGGATTTATGTAACCAACTTACGCATGTATTTGTACTCAATCTACACTTTGGTTTTTGTAGTAAAAACTTGTGTTAATCCACTCCTTCGGACGGAGACCGCCTTTTATCTACAGACTGATCCCCTTAGATACCAGCCCCTGTTGTAAAGTGCCAGTGAACTACTATGTATAAAGACTAACATGTCTTCAAAGACCAGTTAACTATCAGCTTGCTATGGATTGGTTGCTAACATGGGCTTCACTACATTCAAACATACTGCAGTATGCATGTGTAGTTTTAGTGTAAGTGTATGGATTGTGCTCCTCAGCAGCCCTTGCCGATTTCACATACACACCAGACTTAGGTAGTAACCTGGTCGTTGTAGATGCATTTACTATTTAATAGTAAATGCATCTACAACAACCAGGTAGCTAATTCAATGTTTGCACCGACTAGTAGTCCTGGTCGCGAACTTGAAGATGTAGTCCTGTAGTACTGATATGTGGACTGAGTAAAATACTAATTTTCGATATTACCGTATTACTAATGTGTCTTTTATGTATGGTCATGACACTGCATGCAGATGACTATCACTGGCTCTGCTGTCAGCGATTCCGATAGCAATGATGATGCTCCGCGAAGGCTTGAGAACGTATCATCGTCTCGAAGCCAGCCAAGGAGCACTGCAAGCCCGCTGGCAAACGGTCAGCCGGCGGGCCGCTATAGCAAGATATCTGAACAGCCCGCAACCGCATCGATGCCATCCATGCCGCTACAACAACCGAAGCATGTCGATCTCTATCCCACACCGTCGCCTGATACAAGCCAATCTCCCTCGCCCGATCTCTTCGTGCCCCCGTCCACCAAAGCAGCTCAGCAGAAGCCACCACCAGCTTCACAGTCACACAGCCGCTGGACCAAGGAACAACCTGCGTCAGTACAAATGCCCAAACCAGCGTGGCAAACCTCCAAGCAGCCGCACTTCACACCAGCTTCTGCAGTGCACACGCAGGACCTGCAAAGCACGAGGCCGACCGCTCAAACGACGACCTCATCCTATAGCAGTGGAGGAACGGCTGCATCGACATTGCCGCGTTCGTTTGGTGCCAACTCAGCTAGTGGCGCTAGCAGCAAAGCTATCACACAGGATGATTCAAGGTACGGCCACACTGTTATGCCATGCACCAATTGTGGTCATTTTTTAGTTATGTACTAGAATGTAGCATGTGTGGTTACGAAGTTAGTTATGTATGCAGCATGTGTGGTCATTTTGTCATTTTGTTTTTATTTATTTTTACGAGAAACCACGAACTTCGAGAACAGAATACTGCATGGTAGAGGTGAGGTGGCTGCAGACGCAACTGTGGTGGTGAAATTGGAGCATCTCTGCCGACCTGAGGTCTCGGCTTCAGCGACACTTCAGTGCACCAAAAAGTGGGGAGGAGTAGGCACAGGGGGGGGGGGGGGGGGGGGGGGGTACTAAATTTTGTGTAGAGGGTGAAAAATGTATGTCGGATGTGTGGGCATTTAGTTATGTATGTAGCATGTATGTGACTGTGTGTACATGGTGTAACCTACCACAGCCGCTATGGCATACCCCTCTCAAAGTACAACATTGCACTCTTAGGCTGACCGCAGCCCTGTAGCTGATTCTAAACTGACACCAAGTCTACTATTCGAACCGAAAATTCAATTTGCTAATGCTCTGTATGTGTATTTTAAGATGTTGTACACGAGTGTATGATCGATGTTGAGATTGTTGACACATCCATTGTGTCCCTAGATCAAGCCCTGGGCTTTCATTCGTTTAGAGCTCAGGCCGATTATACACCAGCTAATCAGAAATAATGGCGACGGATTGCCTCAGCTTGTCAGTACTAATGGTGACAGAATAGTAGCCGGGAATATCTCAGTTTGTCAGCAATGATGTCATGATGATGCCATGATGATGTCATGATGGAATGAAACTGGTTGAATATCAGTGCACTTGTAGAATATCACTGTTCTTGAGCAATGCAATGCTGTCTCGCTGTCTACGCTCACCACCCTACATAGTTTAAGTACTTAAACACACGATGTGGCTGGCCTGTGCATTTGTTGGTATAGGGTGAACTCAGGGCCGCCTCCACCGCCGAAGCGAGACACCGCTGCTGACACGATGCGTAGCCAGATCATTGCAAGTGAGTAAACCACGTGGCTGGTTATGCCTGCTGCACAATGCGTAGAACAGTTACTGGTATTTTCTCTCGGTACTCAACAGCTCACGAAGATGTGTTGCATGCCTATGACCCTAGATTACCAAGGTTACCCAAGTACACCACTGACATTTCTGGCCATACAATAGTTGATCCTTGCATCCTATTTTCTTAATAAGAAGATCCACTACTCTTCTTGTTTTGGACTTGGGTTTGATTGGAGTATTTTCGGCCTGAGCATTTTTGGCCGAAATTTGCTTTGCAAGGTTCAGTGTGACAGTGTATACAGGCAGCAGCAGTACAGGCTGAACTTTTAATGGGGCCGAAATGTGTTTTAGCCCAGGAGGCCGAAATTTAAACGCGCCGAAAATTTGTAGATTTCCAGTACCTTATGTTGTGTGCACTGCTGTAGTATAAATCACAGTTTGCACTACTTTTTCTTGGCATTATATACATTGGATATCGAGCAAGATGAGTTGGACACAAATGGTGAGCTCCTGATCACGAGCAAGGCGGTTGGTTTGCGCAGGGTGTTAGCTGTGAAGTGCAAGTATACGTGCACGCAGACGGCTTCCCATTGCAATTGTTTCCATTGAAATAGCGGCGATTCCAAAGCAATGTTTCAGTGCACTGTTTTGAATGTTTTCCCCTGTCTAGGCCACAGTCAAGCTTCACGATTCACGCCATCACCGCCAGCTGCCCGTGCTGCACCTGCTTATGATACTATGGCACAGCCAGTTCCCGAGCCGAGCAAGGTGACAACAGACAACCGAACCGATGAGGACATCATTGCCACCCTGCAGTCGGAGATCATGGCAGACCTGGAGAACTTTGCACCGCCATCTCGCGCCGATCCGCCAAGTCCAGCATCTCAGATAGACGGTGCTGGTCCGACACCAAAGGATGTACCATTGCAAGTTGATACGGAATACCTCCGAGAAACATCAGAGCCCATTTCAGACGAAGTGGTGGTAAGTTGGAACAGTTAGTGGTAAATTGTGCTGAAAGCGTGAAACTGTAACGCAGCCCGTACTGCCGTGAAAAAAACATTTCATTACAGTTTACATGTACACGTATATGTATCGCTGTTTATAAGTTAGTCCTCAGCATGCAATGTGGAGAGGACTCCTTATCAGCTGGATGTAAGAACACGGGTCAAATTGCAACTTTGAGTCTGTACACCGTGCCATTGTGAACTTTGCAAAGTTCCACAGCTTTTGCCGTAGTGGTGATGCATGGTAAACCGTGATGATGGTAACATGATGTTCTGGTATACTACAGTCCTGTCGGCCGTCGTCGAAGAGCTGGGGGTCAACCTCCTAGCGTAGACCGTTCTTATTTTCATGTATTACAGTCCATGCACGGTTGAGTCACCATGTATACATTGGTATGCTGTACTCGGTGAAATTCTAGCTTGGCCGTTCTTCGACGCTCCGTTCTTCGGAGCTCCGTTCTTCGGCGCTCTGTTCTTTGGCGCTCCGTTCTTCGGCGCTCTGTTCTTTGGCGCTCCGTTCTTCGGCGCTCTGTTCTTTGGCGCTCCGTTCTTCGGCGCTCTGTTCTTTGGCGCTCCGTTCTTCGGCGCTCTGTTCTTTGGCGCTCCGTTCTTCGGCGCTCTGTTCTTTGGCGCTCCGTTCTTCGGCGCTCTGTTCTTTGGCGCTCCGTTCTTCGGCGCTCTGTTCTTTGGCGCTCCGTTCTTTGGCGCCCCACAGTACTGTAGTAGTACCTGCATAGTTTCATGTCCCATCAGCCCCAGTCCTCATTGCTGTTGTGGAGCTGTTGAACAAAAATGGGTACTGCACAGGAAATGTACAGTATGTGTGTGCAGTAGATATTCATGAAATCTCCAGACAGCTAGCTGTGCTCCTGACAATGGTCACGAATCCCGAAACATTGACAACACACTGGATTTTGTGTGGAATGCAGTGCATACGTGAGTGTAGGCGAGTTGCCTGCAATCAGTGATTGGCATTCAATGAAGCTGCGTGAGGCGTCCTTTAGATTAGAAGTTCTGAAGCTAGCCGTTAGCAGTAGATAGATGTTTGTACCTTTCGTTTGTTTCTGTGATGCTCATCTCCACTGTGTGCATGTGACATGGTACATTGCAGCTGCCGGCCATCACAGCTCAAGCAACTACAGTATCAGCGCCCATAGTTCAAGCAGCTGCAGTACCAGCGCCAACAGTTCAAGAAGCCCTGAAGCCGAAAGCCGTGGTGAGCGTGCGTAAGTCCAGCTTGAGCAAGTCCTTCAGCTTTGGCAGTGGCGGCGACACGCAGCGACTGATTGCCGAAGAGCAGAAGTGGCGAGCCAGCAGGCGTCGCTCCGAGCTGGCCAAACAGGTTGACATGCTACTAGACGACCAGTTCCTGTTGAAGAATGTGTCTCAGCCGCTCTCTTCCTCGGGCAGCAGCCGTGACGGATCGGAAGCCTTCCTGGATGCTGCGGCCAGCGATGCCCGACTGCAAGAGCAGCAACAGTTGAAATTGCTACAGGTGAGGAGGCTCTGTTCATAAATATGGCCTGGAAGTGCTACACCACAGCCTGACCCGAGTCATGACAATGCTAACTTTCGGATCTACTCCATCCCGGCAGTTTTGCATGGATCCATACAAGTTTGGGTGGTTTTCCTTCACAGCATAGTGACACATCCACTGATGGTGACTGGATTGGGCAATCCCGGTCAGGGACCCACTCCTGGTACAGAAAAAGAATCACACCTGCAAGCGACACGAGTGGTCCACCCACCATATCCTGTACTTCGCTAGGGCAAAGTGGATCCCAAAGTTGCTATTTGTCATTGGATTTTGACTTCTGACTTTATCATATTCAAGGCATACACCACCTTTTTTTTCAAAGCCAGCATGGACACATGTAGGTTCTCTCAACCTATCCCCCCCCCCCCTCACTTTTTAGCAAGCATGCTGTCATACTTATGGGTTAGCAGTCACCTATCTTCCAGCCCTTAGAGATCTGACATCATGATCACAAATTGATATTATCCATGTACATGTGAAGTGATCCAGTCCCTAACCCCTCCTTGTAAGCGGACCATGTTTGCTTTGAACAATCAGATATGGATGGTTTCTCAGGAATTATCATAACTCAACTAGTGCTCTTCATCCGCTCTTCACTTTTCCAATACAATGGGGTTCCATTTCCCTACAAGCCAGGTTCTCTGGAGGTCCAGCCGCAGGGTAAATAGCACTGGAACTTTCGTTTTTTAGCCAGAGTTCTCTTTGAACATGTGCCGCTTTGGTTGCATTGTGATGACACGGGTTTCATGGACTGTTTTGCTGATCAAACTCATACCGAGCAGAATTCACCTGAGCTTTAAAATACTGCTTCTCTTCAATTGGTTTGCTCTTGTTTGATAGGGAAAGGCAAAGCACTCCCCCTCTGCTTTATCAGCAACTGCACCCGCTACCCAGCGTCCAGCATCTGCAATGGGCTACCTACATGATGATTACACGGCATCCAGCAATGGCGGAGGCAGTGGTCGCATGGAACAGGATGCCACACCCGCGCCGCCTGGCCAGCTACGTTCCTCTCGTCTTGCCAGTCCAGCATCACCGCTCGACCTGGCCACCAGCATTGACGAGGACAGGTCGGAGATGGAGCGGCTGCTTTCCTTGGCCGAGCAGGAGCGCTCTCAGCAGCTCCAGGCAGCAGAGGAACATCGGCGCATGTCTATGGATCAGAGAGAGGAGATGACCAAGAAGAAGCGAGAGAAGGTGCTCCGCAACCTTGTCAAAGACCGGAAGATGCGCGAAGAGAAGGACAGGGAGAAGCGATGGGAGAAGCTCGAGGCAGAAAGACAACGGCAGCTGGAGGAAGAGGAGGAAGAGGAGGCCAGACAGCTTAGTGGAGAGATTGCCATCATCCGTGGAAGTCAAGAAGATGTGGGAACATCTGCTACGGATGGTGGCGATGAAGGGGAGACAGAGGATGGTACTGATGATGGTGGTAGTGGCGGTGAAGATCGTAATGCCGTAGAGGAGATTGATGACGAGCCAATCTGGGGTGACTTACCCGCCAGGTCAGAGCCAAGCAGCGAGATCGACACAGCAGCACCTGAAGATTATAGTGCTGAACCTGACAACACACGGGAGGACTCTCAAGCTGATCACGCAATAGAAGAGAATAGGACCACCTCGCATGATTGTGTTTCTACCACTGAAGACAACGACCAAGGTACTAATGATGATGATTCGGCTGTGACCCATGGCGACTGTCCCATTGAGAATGCTATGATAACACCGCGGGAAGATACCAAGAACAATGGCCGTTCAGGTGTAGTCGGTGATGTGTCCATTTCCAGCATCCTAGATCCTCTGGCCAGTGCCATAGAAAGCATAGCACAGGGTCAGACTGAAAAGCGGCGCAGCATCACACGCCTGTCAGCGTCCAGCTTCACACGAAGCCCGCTGCGATCGCCACATGTCAGCGGAACAGCCCTCAACAAGGAGTCCCCGCCACCAGCAAAGCCTCCGCGTCCGCCAGTTATCGTCGAGGTAGACCCAGCTCGGCGGATTTCCTCTGCTAGAACATCAAGTACGACAAGCCATGCGTCTGTATCATCCACCGAAATGACCGACTCGGCTGTGGGATCGCCTTCAAGTAGCCTCAATATATCAAATGAAGCCGGTAGCGCGGACATGTCAAGGTATTTCGGCAGTGCGCTCAAGGATTTCTGTGGAGATGAGGATGATGAGGATGATGAGGATGCAGAGTTGGTGAATGAACCTGTCGACCAAGGTAAGTTTTTTTTGTTGAATCTGAACACGTTGCTTGCAGACATGCAGTCACAACTTACCGTAGTGTCTTGCCTGTCTCATAGAAGCCTGTTTTGAATACAAGCCGGATGCTAAAAGAGCTATGTACTGTCCACCACTGCAACTAGATAATACGCAGGCAGAACGTGCGATAACTGTAGGCCACAACTTTAGTTAGCAATGACTTGTTTTTAAATAGAAGTCAAGTGTAGTCGTTTTGTCTGGGCTCTCTAAGCTGGCCTAGCAGTTACATGTCGAGCTGCAAACACTCTCGTCACGCATGGCGTGTGCACTCACCAGTGTCCGTGTAATTGTGCTGCCTCCATTCGTTTCACCCACAGGTATGGCAGGTGTCTTCACTGAGGTGTAGCTGCCGCCCTACTGATGCTAGCCAAATCTGCGGTCAGCCTGCTGCTTTGCTGGTCAGTGAGCTATGCACGGAAAAACTGTGTTCTGGCACTTAGCGACCGCACTTGAGTTGATCGCAACTTGTTATTCCATTGTTCTCCTTCTTTCGGTGTAATGGAGTGGGGCTATGGAAGTGCCGGTTAGGTTTTGCTGGAGAGATTTGAGTCATTTTCCACCGACCACACTACAACTACACTGCCCATTAGCTGCAGTTCACAGAGAGAATATTTTTTATCAGCACCTGGTGGATTTTCGCAGCATATTTCACCAGTATAGCTTTTGACCATTGACATATTGTTCACTCAGAATTACGTCATTATAATTATCTCTATTTGTTTGTGCATGTACATGTAGATCCACTAGGCACTATTAGCTTTGGCCCCGGATTAGATGTTGATGCTGCATTTATGCATGTTAAAATTGTTTGTGATTATTTTTTTTGAAGCTATCCTCATGTAAAGATAGTCCAGAGTCTCCGGCATTCTCTGCCTAGATGGAGGCGTCGCAGCACGTTGCCAGTCGAGTCGCTTGATGACTGCAGTTTGGCATGCTGTGGGTTGCTCGGACAATGCTTAGGACGGCAGTGCTCATTCATACCTGGCCTGTTTGAGTAGAGGACTTTGTTATTGCTCTGGTTTGCACTCCAGTCCTGGTTACACCTTTTACTGCTCACATTCATGTAGTGACTTGATATCTGTACTGCTATGATACTTGTACTGCACAAGAGCCAAAGAATGTCAGCTTTGTATTACCTGTGTGTTTGTGTGTGTGTGTGTGTGTGCATGTGTGTGTGTATGTGTGTGTGTGTGTGTGTGTGTGTGTGTGTGTGTGTGTGTGTGTGTGTGTGTGTGTATGCGTGCGCGTCAGACTGTCATGTGTGTGCGCGACTTGATCCCGGGTAGAAGCATGTTGCCGGGATGTGTACTCACTGTGTTCAGAACGCTTACGCGCAGCCTTCTTCAGTGTGTCAGGGAGCTCTACCGAGCCCAAATTTGTAACCCTTTGGTGCCTGTGGGAGGTCGAGTACTGTGTACGTATGAGACCCACTAATATAGAGGTCACTAGTATGCGATTACATCATCCGTTGAGATCGTGAGATGCTTTGGCGAAAACATGGACTCGTGGCACAGACTGTCAGTAATGCACTTTCACTAGCGACTCACGCTGCATACATAGCGCCCGTTAGAAAATCCGCTGACTCAACCCGTGAAGTCATTCGCAGAACCTACAAAGGCTACAATATACAGCTGTACTTACATTTTATCAATGGTACATGACTCTATGGATGTCTCTGGCCTCGATCGATGATTGACCGAACCATGTCCCAATCATCGGATTTTCACCAGGCGTCCATTATGGACTCTTGTTTTCACGTACATTGTACCGGTACTCAGCGCGGTAGTCCCGTACATGACTGTAGTGCTGCTCAATGAAATCCGATCTTGCGAGGCGCTGTGCAGCCCCAGACCCGTGAACACTGGGCTAGCTAGCTACTAGGCTAGCTGTGCACTGGCGCAGAGAACGCAAACTGGACTTATGCGCCAAGATCGAATTTCATTGAGCAGCATGCACTGACTGTCTGTAGCCTACACTACAGTGTACTGAAGCCACTCCCAGTGCAGTGTCAGAATACTCTACCAGCACTGCAGTAAGGGTTAGTGAATAAATACAATGATCTACAGTCATGGTTGATAAATATGGTGGTAAAGACACACCTGGCAATATGGCGGTAAACACACGCCTGCCCACACACGCTCTCTAGGCTGCAAAGTTCTGGTACAGAGCTCTCCTTCTCACCACCACCACCATCAGTTCGCGCCTGGCGCCTGGTCGATGCTTGGCTGGCGGTATCCGGCATAGCAGGCTGGTACATCAAGTAGCGCATGACACATAGAAGATGACACAGCAACGACATAGCTCGATTGCGACGTAGATCTACGTTTCGTCCCCGCTGGACTCGTCAGGCAATCTTCAAGCTCCGTATGAAGACATCCAAGAAGAAGATTGCCTGATGAGTCCAGCGGGGACGAAACGTACGTCGCAATCGAGCTATGTCGTTGCTGTGTCATCTTCTATGTGTCATGCGCTACTTGATGTACCAGCCTGCTATGCCGGATACCGCCAGCCAAGCATCGACCAGGCGCCAGGCGCGAACTGATGGTGGTGGTGGTGAGAAGGAGAGCTCTGTGCCAGAACTTTGCAGCCTAGAGAGCGTGTGTGGGCAGGCGTGTGTTTACCGCCATATTGCCAGGTGTGTCTTTACCACCATATTTATCAACCATAAGTACAGCTGCAGTGGTGTCTTCAATTTCATTCTCCCGATCTACAGTATGTCTTCAGAAAACTCTACCACTAAGGCACTGTTTGTAGTACATGTAGTACCAGCCTGAGGATGCCATGGTAGAGTCTTCTTGTCGGCTGCTCCGATCTGAGCAGAGACTGAGGCACGCGTGAGGGATTCGCCACCTCGTTTCGTCACAAAGACGAAAGAGATGCATGCAAACGATCTCGATGATGGGGTTAATCATCATTTTGATGCCATCACTGGCATCAGACATCATTCAAGCTGAAGGTCCAAAGGTCGTCACCATGGTCACGCAGCTTCCACTGTTCCAGGATCAAGCAGCTGCATGCGCATGCACATGGTATGAACGATTGGTACATGTACCGGGAAATCAGCCAATCAACGTGCAGCTTGTGTTTGAGCAGTGCTAACAGCGCATGCTCGATAACGCCATCTAACGCCAAGCAATCTTCCTCCTTCGTCTTCCTGCTTCTTGATGTGCAATGTAAGTTGGCTGTGTGGTTCGTTTCGCTGTGCGGCTTCTGTTTGTTCCTCTTTTGTTTGTGTTGTCATTTCTGAAGGCCACTGTCGGTTTCGTGGCACATAATGATGGTGTAGAGAACCAACCATGCCTTATCAGACGCTTGGATAGCGAGCAGTCCATTCCTGGCACAAACGTGAAACGTAAGGTTGTTTTCAAAAAATTAATATGGCTTCCTTGAGCCCGAATGGAATTTGTTGTAGAAAAGTGACAACGAAGCTACATGTGTCTCTGGCATTGACTCTTGGCTATTATCGGCTCTGCCAACTCGATTTCTTGTGATTGAAATGCTCGGTAATGAGGTTACATCCTTTGCCAGTAAGGTAATTTGGTGTTTGCTAGCTGCTTAGATAGACCTGCTTTAGCATGTCTTGACGATTCTGTACATGAGACCATGTAGCGAGGGGATCCTCTGCAGGACGATTAGGAAACTGCTTTCTTTCATTTCTGCATGTTTCTGCTTCAGCTTCCGGATTATGGCACGCTGCTTCTCGGCAAGATCCGTGCTCGAAAGCCTTGAACATTCTCTGCTGGCCATTAGGCTATCCACCGCGCATGCGCACCGCATCCAACTCCCGCACGCGCACATGGTCGTTGTTGTAGGTAAGGCCACTAAGTAAGGGTCCTGAGCGATGTTCGTATTTATTTTTTTGTGGTCGAGATTGTCTTCCCCGTGTCCTTACGCTTCCAATACATGTAGCTAGCGATCTCTTTCCAGTGCTATCTTATGAATTTGGGCTCAGGTTTTTATGAGGGAGTCCATTCCTGGGTAAAGGCGGCAGTATCATGTGTAAGTATTCGCTGCTTCCCTGCTTCTTGATTTGGCAGGAATATTGCTCTGAAGATGTTCGGTGTCCCGCCGAAGACTTGTGCTTGTCGAACCGAAGCGGATGCTTGCAGGTCCTACTATAGCCGCTCTTTTACCGCTTCATCTGGTGCTACGGGACAGGTGTCTGACCGAGATCAGCGGGAGGTGGCCGATCCCTACCGGTACCCTCCGGCCAAATTCGATCTTCACGCCAGGAGGCGCGGACTCGCAAGGTACGTTTGAGAAGCGATGAAACGAATTTGCTAGTCGTTGTGCTATGTTTGTGTGTAACTAGCAAGCAGAGTCGACGCCAGGCAATATCCATCCATGGTATTCACTAATATCATCAAACAAGGACGCAGCGCATGTCCGTGGATCGTATGTGGCAGAATATCATTGTTGAAGTTCGTTTTCTTTGACGATGCGGGGTTCGCGGGGTAGATCTACATTGTACAGACAGTACTCGTTTCAGGAAACAGTCCTCTACAACACAGGACTATTTTGATGCGGATTAGGCCAGTGGCTGTGGTAGATTTGTCTTCACGGGTGTGTTTATGGCCTTATCATTTAATGAGTTGGTTAGTTTTCATGATTTTACTTCTCCTTTGTTCACTTTTCTTCTGTTCGCGAGTGCGTGAAGACTCTTCTACCATGCCGGCCTGCATCAGTTTGCACCTCGCGTAAATTTGAAGTAGTCTACATCTTTGATTTGACAGCGGAACACACGAGCAGAAACTTGCACTGCGATTTCGGGGCTCATTTGGGCCACGTTTTTCCACATCCATCCAATGGGAAGTCGAGGAAAAGTGAAATTTTAAAAAAATGTCCGGGTGTGGATCTTGACTTGAGTGCATCCAGATTCGACACATAGACAAAAGTATGTTATTAGCGGTGTGTGTATCGAGCTTTGTGGTGCTTTTGCTGTCTGCGGCATGACGTGTACGGCGTTGAGTGTATGTGAGTCAGTTTGTGCAGGTGATCCGTACATTCTTCCTGCCGGCACAAACGTACCACCATCGCGAGCACACTCCGCTATCCAGAATGCAGCTGCTGGTCTCCCGTCTTCTTCATCGTACAGCGAACTGAGCGACATCCTATGAACATGATTGTGGTAACCTTATTTTTGGTCAGTGCAATTCTATTGTCAATGAACATGGGTGCATCTCAAAACAATTACATGTACATTGTAAGCTGCGTGGTCTTCTTCTAATGGATTGTGGTGGTTGCATTGCACTGATTATGGTGGCTCACTCCGAGGTCTTAAAATGTAGAGATCCACCATATTTGCTCTACAGCGTCCTATATGCTACGTGAGACAATGAAGTCTCTCTTTCGTTTTGTTTTCTGAAATGTGTGTGTCTGTGTGTGTGCGTGCGCGTGTGTGTGTGCGTGCAAATGTCCATGCCATGCTTGTCCTGTATATGCATCGCAGTTTGCACGTGATCTGTGTGTATGTGGTTTCCCCCCTTTTCTTCTCCCTCCTCTACAGGACTCTCATCCGTCACCTTATAATTTCGTTTTGCCCCTGAACTATTGAGGCATTGGACATTTGTGATAAGCCGTCCTTGCCAGTCCATACTTTTTTTAAACAGCCTTTGGGCAATGGAAGTCCTCAAACACGGGTTGCCATAAAAAGACAGGTGTTCTGTTCAGCCCACGGGGATTGAGTGTGGATGGGGGTATGGGGTTGCTGGTGATGGCAGGCTTGGTCGACTCCTTGACTTGGCTGATCAAAGATATCATGCCACAAAAAGAGGCATGATACTCACCAAAACTCTTGTAATGTCTTCTGGTGTCAAGCTTTAAATTTAACATGCTCGGCGTACCTACACTTCGTAGCTGTACATTGTTGTAGTCCAACTCGCTTTAAGCGCTCTAGCAAGGCCAACAGTGGTTTCTAAGAAACAGACTGATTGGGACTGTCCTGGGGAAAAGATCAAATATGTGGCATCAATGAAAGATGACCATGCTTCCGCTACCGTAAGTAACTTAGTTCCTGCTCACTCTACAGAAGTTATGAGTACTCAGGTTGGGAATGAGTTTATTCACAAAGCCAATTGTGTGAAACCATGAAGTAAGAACCAAGTGATGTATACTGGTGTTGGTGCATATCACTAAAATTATTACTTGTAGATGTAACTGCTGTGATGCCAGAACTGGATTGCATAGGGCATCTGCCGCTCGGAGCACTTGGCCAGCATTCTCATACCTGGTATTCTTGACTGTTTTCACCTCTACAGGTCCAGACCCGTCAAGCCCGGGGGCTGGATGCTTGCCGTTGAACAACAACGTCGGCAGGAGGACCAGGTATGTCCGCGTACCACGTTTGTCGGTTGAATTACCAGTAGTTCTGGCAAAAAAAGCATCCAAATAGAAGTACCATCCATGTGAATCGTGTTTGCCTTGGTTGAGTGAGCCCCCCCCCCCCCCCCCCAGCTGAGGTCTGACGACACAATAACATGAGATCAGAGCCTGACCGGAATGCGTGTCTTTCGTTTGTGTTGCTGCAGGGAGATCAACGCCACATCGCCACGGAGCCGGGTGACAAAAACCCTAAGTATTTCTGTGATGTATTGTTTTACCAGACTGTCAGCCATGACAGTATGGTACTAATTCCTGGGTAAATTACCTCTCTCCAGCCAATTTGTAAGAAAACACTAAAAATGCACATAATATTGACGGTTATAGATCACAAAATTGTATAAACACAGAATTTCTTTGAATATTAGCTCGAGTCTAGTTGTGGCTAGTAGCCCTTGTCCTATTTTCTATAGAAAGAAAGCTGCAGAACACACCCAGGCTCATCTGTAACTCAATGCAGTAAATTTTGTTTCCATGGCTAGTTTGAATTTTGAGACCATCAGGGACTGCAGGACATTTCTAGTTGAACTAGCTCTGCCTCTCTTGGACATTTCTAGTTATACGTGTCCACAACATAGCCAGCAATCGCATGTCACCACGCACATTCAAAATAAACATAATTTTGCGAATCGACCTTTTTTTCAGGATCATTTTTCAACGAGGACGAACCAAAGTCGGCCGAACGAAGCCTAGAGGAAGAAAATCACCCTCTCCACTTCACCATCACGATACTGACATAGATACGAGATGAAACAACTAAAAAATCCACAAGAAAACTGTACAGCCATCATCGCTTTGGTCTGACTTTGGTCTGAGAATTTCTGTCACGATCAAAAATGTACGAGGAGCACTCAAAAATAAGCCACAGACGTACCTTTATCGCTCTCTACTCCTTTTTCGAGGCACAAAAGTCGACTCTCCACTTTCGAACCAGACATACCAGTGGTCCTTTTCAGCTGCTCCACGAGCGCAGGAAAGGTTCACCAAGGGGCGCAGAGCAGCATCCATTCCAGAAAAAGAGCTAAAATACGAGTGAGACTGCATGCCTGAGTACATGAGTACATGCAGAAAATAGTCAATTTCAGCGTTTCTGCTCCAAACAGCAACTAGCTTCGACTAGAAACAAAGATTACACCAAAGGATCAAACAACAACCATTTTCTGCAGTTTTTTTGCAGATGGCTTCCTTGTGCTTGGCCCAGCACGCCAAAAATCACACCTCGGAGGAGTACAAAAATTACAACTCTCAGATGTCCTCGATTGCTGGCCATGGTTTCTGCACAAACCGCTGGTCTGTTTGTCCAAAAATTTTCTCCTGTGCGACAGCGTCAAATTTGAAATTGGCTGGGGAAGGGGAGTTGCCTAGTGTGTTTATTTTCCGCAAACACTTCCATTTCCTTGACGTTTTCCACATCTGAGAGCTACAGTAAAGGAAGATGTCACTTGCTCTGGAGCAGTTACCGTAGATGTGAATTTTTTATCAAATAAAAATCACTCCAGTTGTGCTTTCATGACATTTGCAAAGAATTGGCTTGAAAAGGACATTTATTTTCTAAAACTTGTGACCAAAATTCAGTTTGTTTCCTTTTTCCAGGAGGAAGTGTTTGCGGAAATGTGATGTAGGTGCTTCATTGAAAACTTTGCATTCATTGTATTCATTGTTGCTTGTATTATCTGCATTATTTGTTCTAACTACTATTGTTTGCTCTTATGCTTCCCTGTAGTCCGTCAAGCCCAGCGTCAAGATGGACGACGAGCGCTACGGACATCACCGTCGCCATAAACAGTCTAAGTATCTCTTTGCTGTGCATGTCACTTGCATCAATAGACCAGTGCAAAAGGTCTTCTACATTTCATTTTCTCCCAGACAAAAACGAGGTTGTTCAACCTGAACTTCGTTACCTACCGCAAGGCCGTCACAGCCAGGGCGGCTGAGGCAGCCCCACTTTTTGGCTTTTTTTAGAACACTGCAAGCAACAAAATGCGATGATCGCAGCTCAGCGCAAACGTAGCAAATAATGAAAAATCCTTGTCCCCGACCGTGGTTTGCTGCAGCATCAAACGTCTGTCATGGCAGTTACACTGAAATTGTACCAAATGCCTCGCAATGCTTGCAATTGGTTTCAATTTTTGAATTTTTTCCCGGCGGAGTGTAATGAAGAATCTTTGTCCCCGATGGTAGCGTCTTCTTGGTTTGGTGCAGAATCATAAAAGTCTTTCATTATAGTTACAGTGAAATGGCACCAAATGCCCGGAAATGCTTGCTATTGGCTTCAATTTTGGAAATATTTTCAGGGGAGGGCCCCGGACCCCCTTCCATGGTCGCCCACCTCCAAAGACTGGCCTGAACCGAGTCATTAGATTTTCAGCCATAACATTTTGCACTGGTCTGTTATAAGTGTATTTGAACTCTGCATGATTTTCTATCCCACCCCTTCCCCTGCAGGTCCCTCTGCATTCAGGGAGTTGGGTTGAACAGCAATGCATGCTTCACTGCTTTCATCCACCCTGGGTAGTAGCATGTTGATGTAACCCTGCCTGCTTCCTACATGGTCTTGTCCGCATGCTTTGGCAATCCCCATGGGTGGGTAGTTAGGGTACTGATGTTGTAGTACCGGTTCATCGGTTTTGCTATCTCCTGTGTGTTTCTTCTCGCCAGTCCAGGTCAAGCGTCGTGGACGGAGGACTTGATGGTGTCGCCGGAGCCGTGCAAGGTAAACCATGATGCCGTGCTCTGTGAAGATTTGTTGTAGCATAGCGATAATTAAAGTGGGTCTAAACCCCTTGAGCCTTGGTTTCCAGTGCTATGTTTTGACCCACATGCTAATGTTCTACCTTTTAATGGTGGCCCAGATTCTGAAAATTATAGTTCTCCGTAGTTACCTTGACAATCCCGTATAATGTTCTACCTTTGGGCGACATCCCTGAGTCTGAGAATTATAGCTCTCACAGAAGAACCTTGACTGCTGGTCAGAGTGCTTGATGCACGACTGCATGCTTCCGTTTGAATTGTAGCTCTCCGTATGTGGCTTTACAATTGAGTCTTTTCTATTGGACGTACAGTGTTTGGGTGGGAAATTGAACTATCCCCAGATGTATCTCCAGTTCCTACCTTGCGCTTCGCTTTTGTTCTGTTTTCTTCATTCGCCTATGCTCATAGGGAGCTATACAGCATTTCAGCCTCCAAGAAATGTCGATGTTGCTGACCATACCCTTTGGTACGGTCTTGCACATCGGATGCCAAGTCAAGGAGCGACCTAAGCCTGCCATCGCCAGCAATCCCCCGTCCTGGGAATTATTATTTTGGTCGGGGATGTGGGCTTGAACAGAACACCTGTCACCCTGGGAGGGGGTGAGTCCTGCATGTTTCTGTATTAAAGGGGAAGTTAAGGCAAAAATTAAAATTTCACCAGTTGTAGTCTTCGGGGTGCTGAGTCGAATGGTCTTGGTCCGAGAATGCTGAGACGCTCCCTTCCTACTTGAATCCCAATCGAACTCGCGCACTTCCACCGAAACTGGGTGACTGCGCCCTACTAGATGGGGATTTGTATGCAAAATGTCACTAAAAGCGCCATTTCGTTCTTATAAAAGCACGGATGACCGCGATTCGCCCATATGTTGTAGTCTTTTGGACGCTGCGTCGACTGGTTTTGGTCCGAAAAGGCTGCGATGCAGCGTTCCTCCTTTATTCCCAATCGAACATGGTTGAACAAGTGGTCACGTGCTCCTGGGTGCCCAAATCACCTGGTCACCACGCCAGCAGGCGACAACTTTCACACCAAGGTTCAACTCGAGTGACAGGACTGCACCCAAAAAAGGTCAAACAGGCTAGTAAGTTAGTTGTACCCTAGGCCCTGCAGGCACGGTGACCAGGTGACTGGCGTACGCAGGAGCACGTGACCGCTTGTTCAACCATGTTCGATTGGGAATAAAGGAGGAACGCTGCACCGCAGCCTTTTCGGACCAAAACCAGTCGACGCAGCGTCCAAAAGACTACAACATATGGGCCAATCGCGGTCATCCGTGCTTTTATAAGAACGGAATGGCGCTTTTAGTGACATTTTGCATACAAATCCCCATCTAGTAGGGCGCAGTCACCCAGTTTCGGTGGAAGTGCGCGAGTTCGATTGGGATTCAAGTAGGAAGGGAGCGTCTCAGCTTCCTCGGACCAAGACCATTCGACTCAGCACCCCGAAGACTACAACTGGTGAAATTTTAATTTTTGCCTTAACTTCCCCTTTAAACGCTGGGTCTTTCTATTCCATTACGATTGTTGTATTGGCAAGGTAGGTATGAATGCATGTTGCTGCCTTTGTTTCAGGGATGAACTCTTTCGGGATCACCAATGGCTCTGGGCAACGGCTAGCGCAAGCTGGCAGCTGGGTGATCCTGAAGGACTTCATTCCATTTTGGCTTTGTGAAATTGTGTGTTGCGGTGGTTTCCCTATTGGGAATGAATGGCTCATGAATAATGACATCAATGGTGACGAATTATTCATTGCGATGGTATTGCATGCTGGGGTGCATGCATAATTAGGTCAGCTGATTCATGAGGGCCAAAGCCTTATGCATAAAGCTTATAATTGGGGTGCATGAAAGTGACGTCATTCACATGCATGAAAGCTGAAACCCCCAAAAAAAGAGATTGCCCCAAGTTCATGCCCAAAATTTCCAACACTCCAACTCTACATATCGATGCAGGTCAGTTGGCGTGTAACACATCTTCCGGCCCTGCAGTATAGACCCCAACAAAAGAAGATGGTTCTAACTTCTATCACTTCACGTAGACTCTCTACATGTTATCACTTACTGCATGTGGTGGATCTACCTCCTCGCCAGGGTGTTGGACTGTTGGCAGAAAGGATATACAATTGCATGTACGGAGCACTTCCACACGATCTGCATCATGCAATTGTTAGATTGACAGCATGAAACAAGCTAATACTGGTTTTTAACATGTGTTAGGTTATACATGTATATCAAGTCATTCACACACTTGAGAGGGACGAAAAGCGTTTCTTCTGTAACTCTGAGTCATACATGTACAGTGTAGATCTACATGATAATCATCATGTCCCCATGCACTCGCTCCATACCGGCTCGGGTCTAACCAGCACTGAATGGGACAATCCATCATATTATACATAAACATGAACGCCTCCTAGTACTAGTACTACGGTAGTACTAGTAGTAGTAGTGACGTACTAGTACTAGTACTAGTCCTAGTCCTAGTCCTTGATCATACAGTATAGCGGCAGTACAATCATGTACATGTACATGATGTAGGTCTACAGTCATGCTGAAGTACATGACAATGTTATGTACAGTCATGTACATGAGTCATGATTGTATGAATATGAACGGCACACGTTCATACGAATCATACTATTCATAGCCTGGCATCCATGGGGCGGTGATGTGAACCAGGGAGTCGTGTAACCATGTCCCTGTACGCGTGCACTGCTCTCACTGTCTGAGCTCAGGCTAGATTCACTGCGCCCAGTGAATCTAGCATGCGCCTGGTGACCGGTGACAGACCTACACAGTACACCATGCCCATGGTACAGCCTAGACTGCAGGCTTCACTTCATAGACCAAGTACATGTACTAGTAAGTGAGCAGATCTACCAGTGTACCACGAAAAGACTTGGCCATCCAGGGCTCACAGTCACATGGTCCTAGATCCTGGCAATCATTATGCGGGCGCCAGGCATCAACATGATCAACGTCCCTGGCCCTGTCCGGCGATTTCGTCCGCCCGCTTGTTCGTGGCATGGATGCAGCTGCATACGCGCTACCAGATCAGGGCTAGGGTCCAGCGGATAATGCTCCGAACATGTTCGAATAATGCTAACCATAATACTCCAAAACTACCATAATATAACGCAGAGGCTCCAGCAAGAGGGCTATGATGCTCTTGGTTTGGGACAAAAATGGAAAAAAAAGGCTGCACCTTGTCAAATTTCCAGGAAAGGGTGCATACATGTACGTGTAGTCGACCTGCTCTGAAGCTGCCATATCTCTCACAAGCTCCACCACTAATAAGAACTACAAGACTTAAGACATGATCTCTTCTCCATTGGCTGCTCTCCATTGCAACTTTGATGCAGGGATATGACTGAATAGTGGGTGTATGAAATCTTTCCCCTTGATATTCCGTGTAGTGACTAGTGAGAGGTGAAACCATTACATTGTATTACAGGTGAGCATTGGGATGAAGTTTATCTTGGCAAATACCGTTAGTATTCCTGCGTGCAGACAAGCATTCACTGCTTCCACTCTGTTAATACTGTCTTCATCTGGAACAGCAGACGTGAGGCCAGTTCCTGAGAGCCCGGCGATCTCAAACCGAGATCCCTCCGGAAATCCTGAAAACACGTCGTCAGAAGTTATTTTTCCGCTCTACATCCTTTGCTTGTTCTGTCTTCTTCTCCTTGAGGGGTTGTGCTTATAGTTGGACACAATACTCTTTAGGCTGAGTTGAAGCCTTCTTTTCTGATAGCACGGCCACTTGACTGTTGGCCTGGCATTACAACCCGTTATCGTCCGGGACTACGTGCTTCATGGCCTGGCCTGATGCTATTTCAAGTAATGGCTTCATCTGCCCTGGACTAGACTGCAGTCTTTTTTTTATCTACCCACCGCGACAGGTTTTAGAGACCACTTTTTTGGACGCCAGATAGCTGGCCTGCTTCAACTACTGCTTCGAGTGCTTTCACACGCTGTCTACCAGGTCTACACTGTGCATGGTGTACATGTGCATGTATGTAGTACAACATCATTCACGTTTCCCTGTTTCAACCCACCTTTTCAGCAGGTACTACTACTACTAGTCCTAGGTCTTTCCAGTGCGCTTGTTTGCAGGCACAATGACCATGAGGCGTTGAGGGGGTGTACTTGCATGCAGCACCTGCTCTTGTGACAGCTAACCACTTCTGTTTCACTTCAGTTTTAGGTGTCGAGCATACCAGAACTGAACTTTTTTTGGCAGAAGGCAGAACTCAGCTGTTTCTACATGTAGCTGCAGCTACAGTGCAGTACCGAGTACACTGACTGTACCGGCATCTTCTTCCTTTGACTTTT